GTGATCGCTGCTCGGGGACTGCTCGCAGCTCGGGTAGTGATCGCGGCTCAGGTAGTGATCGTGGCTCAGGTAGTGATCGCGGCTCGGGACGGGCTGGGCATCGGTCGGCGGGCGGGTGGTGAGTAACTGCATTGTGCATAGTTTGTTTTGTATATTCTGTATATTCTGTTACCACTCTCATTATGACTATTATTACTATTTTCTCTTATCAAATTGTCTTCATCTCAGCCCATGGCTCTAACCTTTTTTTTTGTCCTTTCCGATTCTCCCCTCCCATCCCACTGAGCGAGCAGCTGTGTGGTGCTTAGTTGCCAGCCGGGTTAAACCATGACAGTATGAATCAAAATGTAGTTCATATAGCCACTGCTAGAAATTCTCTGACTAGAATTTACTGCAGTCTACTATTAGTGACTATTTCTGTTGCCTGATAGAGTAAATTTTTCATAAGTTCTGTTACCTTCAAGATAGCAGGATGAGGAAGGGAAGAGAAAAGAAAATCTCTGTGGGGAAAAAACTCCCCAAGAACTTGGAATTTTCAGCAATATTTATAAATCAAGCTACATAATTACTTTTTATGGTTTTTGCCACCCTTTACTCTTCCCAATAAAAGTTAAGTCTCTTCAGCACCCGACAAACTCATTCAAAAGTTTTTCACTGTAAGTACAAGACAAATTCTGGTCAATTGTAACCACTGGAAATTGCTTGGAAATTGTTTTAAGTTACACTCCTAGGCTTATCTTTGATAATGACCTGGAGAGCTGCTATAGAGGGGCATGAACACATGGACACGTGACGAAACTTCATAGTAGTGTGGCCACCTGTTTCTGGGCCAAAAGGCACTTTCAGTCTTGCATAAATACATCCAAATTTAAAATTTCATTAAGCTTTACTTAACAGGTTCAGTTCACATTATCAGTCATATACTCTCAGCACAAAACCTCATACCAGTATACACATGCATTTTATACACTTCACCTCTCCACTACTACTGCATTTCAGTTGTCCGTCAAATTCCTCTTAGTTTTGACTTTATGTACTGACTAATAATTGACTTAATGCTGTGAAGAGGTTTGGTAAAGAAAGGTGGTTTTTTTGTTACCCAAACCCCTCACCTTCAGTAATTCTGAATCACATTAGGAACTACAATATAAAATTCTCAAAGTGGAAAGACTGAAAAACATTAACAAATAACATAAGATTTAAGGTTCCAGATATTCTCAGTACAGGACATAAACCGTAAGACTGTTTCTCGTTTCTCATTGCTAGGAGGAGGAGTTGAACTGTGGCAAAAGCTCCTGTCAGCAATGGATACGCTAGCTTAAAGTATTTGCCTAGAGAACAAGTTACTGGATCTGTAAAGAGGGTAACTCTCACCTTTTTAAACTGTTTTTTCTTGCAGCAGACCTGGTAGTTCTTTTAGTAATGTCTGTACTGTCAGAAATGCTAGGTTCAGAGGTTTTATGTTTCTGAACAGTGGACTGCAGAATTACTCTGAAAAGAGTAGGAAAAAAGAAAGATTATACAACTTAAAAGTTTCTAGGAAAACACTGAGAAGAGGACATTACAGTTGCAGCAGAGCTAACAAGTATCAGCTGGCTTTTCACAAATAATTCAGAAAAGCAAATTCTTCTGCCTGAAACACATTCTTCTCTTTATAACATTGTTATATGTTATAACTATGGTAATGCAAGTTGTTTTATTAGGAGCATAGCAGTTTGTTTTGTTGCTTTGTTTGATTTTTCTTTTGCTTTCAAAGAATGGATTAAATTAATCATTTTGAATCTCCTGTTAAGTTTCTGGAAGACAAAAAGCTAAGAAAATGTATTTTAAATTGCTCCAACAAAACAAAAAAAATAGATAAAATCTGAAGTATGCAACAAAAACATACATTATTTTCCAGACTGACACAGAAACGTATTCAGAAAAAACCCCAAGTAATTCAATTTGTGAAGACCAAAGTCTAAATCAGCTGCAACTTGCCATGAGATTTTCCCTTCAAATACAGTAGGCTAGGAAAATCATTGCCTACACCACACTGAAAACAGAGCTGGTTGTCCTCAGTCGCATCTCTGGAAGACTCTAGAGCAAGATATTGACTATATCCTAACAGGCAGATAAATCCTAGTGTTGCTTACATCAGTAACAAAAGAACTCCAGATTGTGAAATGCAAACAACTATTTTTAGCCACAAACCAACTGGTTTGTAGGGAGACCACATCTGTGTTCCTAAATACTTGTAGTGCAATTACGATGGAAACAAAAAGTGACAACTGGTCAATGAAGCCCACAGATATCTGTTTAGAACACCATTCTACACATCTATTCCCTAGTCATTTCATCTGTGCAAGATTCCAGCTATAAAACTACACATTATTTTAGAGATTCAGAGCTAAGAGTAACTTAGCTATTACTGTTTTTTCACCTGCTGTTACTAGACTCTAATTTTCAGTGGCCTCACTGAGTCCATCTGTGTCAGCAGATTATGCTAGATTGGAAATCAAAACCTTCATTAAGTTGTATAAACCACAGTCTGCTTGATTAATACTCCGAAGAAATTGTTTTCAAGGAATCCTAGATACAAACATAAACCATATCTTTTGGAGTAAAACTGGACAGACATACATGGGAGAAAAAACAAGTATTTTCCTACTCACATAACATGTTCACCACAATAAAGAAATAGGAAAAAAACCCCTATGCTTTCACTGTTTCATATGGGTTTGATACAGAATTAGAGTATGCATCAGAGATAACACAATTTCATCTAAAATAAATTCTTTACATCAGTAAAACTGGTCAGCAACCTTATTTACCTCATACTTTTAGACTGTTTAGCAAACAGATGACTACAGAACTACGAAGTTCAAATATTTTAAATTTCTACTTAAAGAAATCTTTCTTAGTATTTCAGACTTGCAAAATCTTGTCACTTAATTTGCAAAAGTCCAAACGAAAGCCTTCTCTTCCTCCAAGATAAGATACAAGATTGAAATGGCAAGGACTAACAAAATGCAAAGTAAATTCTATGGTAAACACAACACATTTGAAATCGGAGGAATAGGTTATTCAAGAGGCTGAAAATAAAACCAGATACCTTCAACATCATATCATGCTTCTGTAGACAACACAAATTCTTCTAATAAACATCTGTTTTCCTTGCATGCCCAAGGTGAAAAGGTTCAAAACCTGGAAATTCAATAATTTCTATTGTGCTTGTAAACCAGTTCTAACAAGTTCTAATACCAAAGTTCTAATATTAAAACCTAAAATTCTCCTTTCCGTGACACAGCTGTCATACAACATGAACAAATTTGGGCTACTGCACTTTCAATTAAGCTTTAGAAATTACACCAGTGGTGAAAAAAGACTTGCATTACACCTTTTATCTCTGCCACTAGCAACTTCCAGGACTGAACAGAAAGGTACAAAGCTGGCTTAACCCCATAACATTTAGTCACTGAAATATATGCATGACCAAATCATGGCACATAGTGGTTTGTTAGCGTTCATACAGACAGAAATATAGAAAAATCATGTTTTCTCCTTAAATATAGACATACAGCATCTCTCTGTATAAAATGAACGTAATATACATATAAAAGAAAGCAAAAGTTATTGGAACATAACCTAATGGCTGTAATCTTTCTTATAGGTGTCCATTCTTTCCAGACACCAGAAGTACAGAGAACAGGTCAGTATATACGGCTTAAACGCATATACTTATCTAATATGAACTGAAACACTACGAAGCATTAAGATATCATCTTGCACTTAAATATTCGTATTTTCAACATATCATAGGTAAGTCCTTACTTCCCACATAATTTCATTTTATCTGTTCAAAACAAAGAAAGAATAGAGGTTCTAAATGAGAATGTGACTCATAAAAGTAGTCACCATACATAATTGCACCTTAAAACCAAACCAACAACAACATCATCCTTTTAAGATTGCTGTATCTACCAAAGGGTAGGGAGAGTAGGAGCTGGCTTAGGGGATCAGCTCAGAGCCAGCTGTGAGCATGGTAGAACCTTTAACATTATCTGTTCTTCAGTAGATATGTCATTTTTACATCTCAGCACTATGCAACTTCACATAGCTACCCAAGAGTAAAGATTAACTGAAAACCCTGTGAACAAGACATTTGCTGAATGATCTGACAGACATGTTTAAATAAGACTAAAATTCTAGACTTCCAAGGCTGATAGCACCTCAAAGAAAACAGATGAGGTCCCATTTACACCATTGTCTGACACAGTGTTACAATTAGAGTTGCCTTTGGGCCTAACTGTCAGCTTAGGAGCAGTGCTATCAGAGCTTTTATTAGAATGCTACTGCATACATGTTTAAGGTAAGAGAAGAAACTGTCTTTAATGTATGGAATTTTGATTTAACATGAAGTCCCAGTTTTGGCTGGGATAGGGTTAATTTTTCTCCTAGTAGCTGGCAGAGTGCTATGGTTTGGATTCAGAATGAGAATAATGTTGATAACTCATTGATGTTTTAGTTGTTGCTGAGCAGTGCTTATACTAAGACAAGGACTTGTCAGCTTCCCATGCTTTGCCAGCAAGGAGGAGCACAAGAAGCTGGGAAGGAGCAGAGCCAAGACAACTGACCCAAACTGGCCAAAGGGACATTCAATATCAATATGATGTCATGCTCAGTATATAAAGCGGGGGGAGTTGGCCGGGGAGCAGTGATTGCTGCTTGGGAACTGTCTGGGCACTGGTTGGTGGGTGGTGAGTGGTTGCATCACTTGTTTTTCCTGGGTTTTGTTTCTCCATCTCTTTTTGTTGTTTTTCTTTTCATTACACATTATTATTGTTGTTGTTGTTATTATTATTATTATTATTAATTATTTTTATTTTATTTCAATCATTAAACTGTTCTTATCTCCACCCACAAATTTTCTTACTTTTGCCCTTCCGATTCTCTCCCTCTTCCCACTGGGGAAGAGTGGCTGGGTGATGCTTGGTTGCCAACTGGGGTGAAACCACAACACACAATTAGATTAGCAGCAGGTTTGATAGATAGGTTTTATAATGGACATGACGCCACAGTAGAGGAAATCCTCCCAAAATCTCAGCACTAAAAAAATTCCCAAACTATATCAGAGAAGGGCAAGATCCTCAGGACAGCTACCTTACTGCTTTGTAACTGTGAATGTAAACTAGCATGTCATGCTGTATGTGACAACAATCAACTTCCAGGAACATGAGCAGAAAGTGCATCTGAGGTACACAAAGCTTTTCTAACTCAGTGAAATATAGTTTAAAAAAAAAAAAGAAAAAGTAGAACATTTTCTGAACACATGCTGTAATAGTAACGCTAAGACTAAGTTAATCTGTAATGGAAGCATCACTTGGTAGTTCTGAATATAATCCCCAAATACCACACTAGTTTATACACTACTTTCTTATTCAAGCTAATATATCAGCCTTTAAACAAATCAAAACCTGCCTAAGTGGCATGGTGTTTGGGTCAGTAGCACAATCTTTTAAATAGTTCACCATTTAACTCAGAGCGGCACAGGGGGACAGGTACACCACCAGGACACAAAAGCTCAAACCTCACAACCCAAGACAAAATCAAAAAGCTTGAAATGCCAGCAAAGTTAAATATCTTGAAGACAAATCAATCCACAAAACTAGCTTTTTTTTAAAAGAAAGATTGTTAGTGTGCTAAGGAGGGATGAGGGAAGAGAGGTTACACAGGAGCATGTCTTCTCTGACCTGTGATGGGCATTTTATTCTTGCCAAGGCTACCTGTTTTATGAGGTCTGTCAAATGCAATATTGCTTTCCCCTACATCAACTCATGATTTTTAGGAAAACAGGCCTGAGTCTTCTACCACTGTTCCAAGGCAACAAGTGACTGATACTCTTCAGTCTACAGGGCTCCAGCCAACAGGACCGCCTGGCTAGCCCAGAGAGATTCATGATCCTGATTGATAATTTGATCTCTTAAAGCACAAGGGACACTAGCTGCGTAATGGAGAGAATGTTAGTCTAGCTTTTAAGAACAGCTTAAGCATTTTGCCAGACATAAACCAACGTTGTATGATTGTCAATCCTGGATATGAGGCAGCAGCACCAGTAACCCAACTGCTTGCATCGTGACACATTTACCAATATCAATCAATCTTTTCTATTAAGGGAGTTTTTAGACAGAACACAGAAACTGTAAGAGAAAGAAAGGATGACAGTTGAGTGAAATTGATCTTATAGTACAGAAAAACAAAGGACAGATTTTTTTCCTTTTTTTAACCAGTGTTTTAAGTTTAGCTTTTTAGTCTGTGTTTAGAAATCTGAGGTCTGACTTCTGGAAAACACCGAGACAAGAAATACTGCTACATTCAGTATAAAACTTTGAAAACAAGCCTCTCATTTAAGTATGTTCTTTGACAAAGTTAGGTACCAATGAAAAAAAAAAAAAACAGCTAAAGGGATCTTTACTTCTTTTTTTTTACCTCCAAAAGAACATATTAAGCTAAGGCTAGTAGGGTAACTAAGTTGTCCACAAGTTCCCCAGTTCTCACTCTTTTAGTTATTAGTCATTTACTTTAGCAGAAAGAGTCCCGCAGTTTTTGAAAATGCAGACAAAAAGTTGCAAGGCCAAAGGTAAGAAGGATAGAAACCCTTAACTTTCATGTTCTGCTTAGTACTCTGGTGTAAAACACTTTTTCTGACCTATTTTTTCCCTAAGAGCACCAAAGTTTCAAGCATTCACCCAAAGTAACCATTTTGCTTTGAGGGTGGTGGTGGAGCAGCTCCAGGGAGATGCGGTAGCAAGCAAAAAGTTCCTGTTTGGATCTCCTGGCAGTTCTGCGTGCTGCTGAAGTTTTGTTTGGCTGAAAGATGGAAGTTCTCATTTGATGAAAACATTGCACCTTTTAAGCGGAAGAGAGGCACAGCCATCACTGCAGCCACTCTGACAAAAGTGGAGTGGAGAAAGAGTGAAAACTGTAGTCAAGGAACTAACGTGTTTTTAATGCTCTACTCAGCTCCTGAATCCAAGTAACAGAAAGAAGGGATTTAACTAGTCTCCTAAAGCTCTATAAAAAAATAATTGAGGACAAAAGAAGATGAAACCAGATTGGCTGGGTAAAAAAGTGAGCTTTGACCTAATACTGCAACCTGCCTCATCTTCTGTTATGTTAAAAAGGAAAAAAGAAGTCCCATTTTACTACCTCTTACGGCATATAATACTATAATTTCTTAGTAAAAACAAAGACCTACTTACAAATTTCTAACAAATTCTAATTCCTGGCATTTCACAGGAATAAAACCATCCTTTGGGAAACTAAGCTCCTTTGCAAGTTCATGAATTTCAAAGTAAAACTGGGGCTAACATCTTCATTTGCAATACGCAAAGGACAGGATCATACTTTAAAGCAGTACTTTTTCCTTTTTACAAATATAATTTTGATTATGTAGTTTTGCTTATTTGCAGGAGCATGCAGAGAAGAAAGGCTTCAAAATTATAAGTTATTCTAACTATAAAAGCTCTGCACCTTTTGTATTGCAAACCAGCCATAAAAATCACTGTTATTCCAAATAATATATACAAAACCACAACAAAGCCAGAGCAGTGAAATTTACTCTTGCAACAAAACCAGTAAGAAACATGATATGAAAACATGCATTTATGAGACATACTAGACAGCAAGCGTGAGCTATTGTAGAGAAATGGAATGGGACACTTACACAGTGGCTCTCTCTCAAGGGGTCCTGATGGTTACTATGTTCTTAAACCATCTAGACAGAATAGCAGGCTGGGCAGAAGGGAGCCACATACAATCCACCAGATGACAATGCTACACAGTGTAGACACCAGCATAGCTAGGAGCCATCTAAAAAAGGGGTTGGAGGGGAGGAAAAGATGAACAAAAATTCAAAAGAAAAAGCTATTGGTGCATTTCAGCTTGTTTCAAGTTCTTCAACAGCATTTTGCTCTACAACCTTTGCCAAGCATTTTCTTACTTTTTATGAATCCATGCAACCATAAATTGCCAAATATAGTATCCATGTGTTGGATTTTCTGAAATCCTCGCTAAAGTTGTCTATTCCAAAGAAAGTGTGTAGCACTCTTCTGAAAATAAGTGCATGCTGGAGCAGTACATCTCTGACCACTTTATGCCATCTCTTATGCAGTTTGATCTGCCTGTATTCATTCATCCTACTTCATGATCCCAAGTTTGAATACTAAAACATTAGATCAGAGCCAGATGAGTTTGTAGGAACAATTTACGTAAATACCCATATGATGGGGTATATTACCTTTTTGTGTTCCAAGTAGCAAAAGGTAATTCATAATCCTTTGGCCAAAGATGCCGAATATCACTAATTAGAACATATTCAAAATATCCATTCATCAAAGCATATAGAGCTTATACAACCAACTTCAATAAACGTTAAAAAACATTATACACAAACCCCTTGAGACTTAAACATAAGTAATGCCTCTAGCTCTCAAAGACTGTAATTGTCCCAGCTTCTGGTGCTCTTATTTTGCCTTCTTTTTTTTTTCCTTTTCTGTGAAATAAAACTACACAGAGGATTTAGAAGCTTCTTTTTGTTTGCTTAGATAAAATTAATCAGTTTCACTGCAAGATTAATTATTTTTAACAGTCTGAACTCAAAGGGAAAAAGACTGATACCTCTTCTAGCAGGGAAGACTTCAGACTCACATAGGGCAGCTAAATATTCCTAGTGGTATTTTGGTTTGATAGTAGTAACACAAAGAATGTAAGAAGTTATACAATTATTTTTCACCAAATTATTTCAGTACAAGCTGCAAACCATACAAATAACTCAGGGGAACAGAAGGAGGAAAATTCCAACTCCCTGTGCCACAATGCATGCTATAAAAACCAACTATATCAATTATTTTAATTCTACAGAAGTATAAGCTAACTACTTTTAATTAGAGCAGTCAGAATGCTTCATGAATGGAATAATATTTTAATAGTTGATAGGCTTTCTGCATGTTAAGACAATGGTTCTGAACAGATTATCACATGGTCTACATTCATCCTACAGAACACACAATAAGTGAGATCTTTCACAACCTTTATTACATGACTTAAAGTACCTTTTATGAAAAAATATTAGGACATGGAAATTAAGGCACTATGTGGCTTAGAAACTAATGTGCAAGGTAGCTGGTTTTTACTGTGCTATTTGAGGTAACTGAGGTGATGTGTTTAGGGTTTTTTAATGCCAGTTAGATACAGGCTTTGTTTTGAATCGGTTGTTTCTTATATGATTGCCTGTGTCAATGATGAGCATGAACAGAAGAGAATCTTAAAACAGAAACAGAAATCATACATAACAATGTGTGAGGGTTTCCAAAGACATACTCAGCACCTTCAGCATGTTCTTACTATATACCTCTCACTTTTTTCTAAAAGTCTGATGACACTGGTCTTAAAAAAAAAAAAAAAAAAGGCAAAAGAAAAAAAGGCAAAAAAAAAAAGGCAAAGGAAAAAAAGGCAAAGGAAGAAAAGGCAAAGGAAGAAAAGGCAAAGGAAAAAAAGGCAAAGGAAAAAAAGGCAAAGGAAAAAAAGGCAAAGGAAAAAAAGGCAAAGAAAAAAAAGGCAAAGAAAAAAAAGGCAAAGAAAAAAAAGGCCAACAGCTAGCAGCAGCATCCCATACAGAAAGACAGCACAACAAAAGCCAAGTTGCCTTTGGTCTGTGACTCTGGTGCTGTGTTATTTGCAAAAATCTGACAGCCAGGGGCCACCATTCCTTTCCTAGCAATCAAATGAGATCCAGATATGTCCTGCAAGTCTTCCATTCTCTTGCAATTTATTTAAGGGCAGACAAAGTTTCTTCTACCTGCAGCTGCTACAAGCCACAACAGATGCGAAGGTGACTACGAACTTTCTTTTACAGGTGGTGTTTCAGTACTTGTCTAAAACAAAGAGACTAGCATACCAGGCTCCTTGACAGAAATGCACTCCTTTTGAATTTATTTACAGAAATAGTGCTACTCCCTGCCTTCCAGATCTACCAGACATTATACCAAAGCTCACAGGATTTAGGGAAAGTTTCTTTCCAAGGAAGAGGAAGCTAAAGATTCTTCTTTCAACTCTTCTTCTTAGGTAGCTGACTTTACTTCAAAAAACAGCGCATACCTTATCTCAGCCAGTCAAATACCACCACGTAAAGTCATATTCTTCCATTTTTATACTACCACAGGAAAGAGAAGGGAATGACTGTGATTAAATTACAAGTAAAGCATTCAGAAATACTGTGGGAGCTTGTGAAACGCAGACTACTGGAATCAAAAACAATGCAGAAAACCAAAAATTGAGAAATGAAGTTCTTTAACCAAGTTCTCCTGCCTTCCGAGCGCTCAACCAAGCCTTCGGAGAAACGGTGAATCTCCCGCTTGTTTTAAATGATTAAAAGCAGCCTTGGCAACAAACTTTTGGGGACAAATGGAAGTGTGCATAAAGAGGAGGATAAAAGTCTTTCTGGCATTTATACATTCAGAAACTGACTTACGTTAGCGGAGATGCAGTTGGACCTTTTGCCTGCCTTCTACTTTTCAGAGCACGAAGCTTATCACCTTGTGTTACACGGTTTGTTTCATCTTCATCGCTGTACTGGATAAGTGGAGGCAGGGAAGGGATAAACAAAGATTAAAACACAGACACTTAGACATTGAAGAATTAACCTTATCTTGAATCTTAAAGTTAGAATCATCTCAACAGGAAAGTTTTTTCCCCCATATCCCTTGATACAGCAAGTGCAAGCAGAAAAACAATCAGATTAACACAGTTTTACCATACCCACAGGTTTATTCAGACCCTGAGAGATTCTCAACAGCAGTTACAACTTTTACAAGAGCACAATATTCTGATGGTTACCAGTTCAATGTCCTTTCGGATGGTTCTCCTGTTTCTCGTGTCATTAATTGAAATATCATCTACTCCTGACAGAATTCTTGTTACAGCAATTTTACGGTTTCCTTTCAGCTTTGCATGGAAAATATCTCCTTCTGTCCAAAGTTCTGCCTGTTTCCTATTATAATATGGCAAAAAACCCCAAACACAACAAATTAACACCAAAATATTACTAAGTGATCAATAAAAGAAGAAGAAAAAGACATCTAGATCTATTTTTGAAACAATTTACAGTCAATCTACTTACTCCATCAGGAAGTGTTGCTGTGGCCCAATCACTGAACCAGGTCTATTTATTCTAATCCAGGCGATAGTTTCAGCAGCTGTCATCCGATAATGCTTCATAATGTAACAGGCAATAAGTGTGCCAGTTCGTCCAAGACCAGCTGTGTAAGATAAAAGAATGGCTTCTTTCATATACCTATCTTCATCTGGAATCTGCTGTAGCTATAGACATTGTTACTTGGACAAATAGTTACTTGCCTAATTTAATAAACAAACCTGTTACTGATCAAACTTGGTTAGTGCAATTCACCTTCTGAATTCTTTTTTTCTATATACAAGTCTACTAACACATTGTTCACATGTTTTTTGAGGGAGGTAACCTTCCAAAGCCAGCAACTTTACAAATACCTGTAAATCTATCTTTATTTACCTATCTACCTATGAATATGTATATAGATATGAGAATGTTTTTACGCATGGGATGAACAGCTGGCTTTTTCTCAAAATTCTCAAAGCACCTTCTTGCAAATTGATCACACATTGCACTGAAACCTGTTGCTTTTCCAATCCCTCCTCTAATTAATTTCTTACTTTAGTTCCCGAAGAAAAGACGAATTTTGCAACAAGCAAGTCTGGGTACTAGCCAACACAGGTAAAAAGTACTCCAGCATGAGGAACCTTCTTTGCCACAGCCCTCAAAACAGTTCTATTTACCGTGAAAAACATGAGAAGGAAAGGAGGACAGCTCCAGCTAAGTGGCTCCTCTCCTTGATCACTTACTGTAAATGTCAAACCACACATCATCTTCTCTCATTTAACAAGCAACCAATCAACACCAGCGTAAAATCTTCAGTACAGCCCAATAGCCAAGAGAACCACGCAGCGCTTTCCATGCCTTGTCCAGCTTTAAGAACAGGCTACAGCGTTCTGTTCTTTCTCAGCAGTAAGAGCAGGTTGAGGAACATAACGTAGCCTAGACACGTTTAGTATGATAAATATCAGAGACCATCTTAATTTGAATGAAAACAAAGCACTTGTACCACTGATACTCAATATTCAGGCGTAATCAATTAAGCCATATGCCCAAATTTATCACCTCAGTTGAGAATAAGAATATGCACTTGCTTCCCAACAGTCAAGATGAAGTTTTTACCAATTCTTCCATTTCACAGTGTAATCCTGTTAAGCATGCAGAAAATGGATAGCAGATCCAGGCACAAAAATGCAGTCTTTGCAGGCCCCAAATGGGCAAATGGGTTAAGAAAAAGGCCTTTCTCCTTCAATCACAGCATTACCAGGTATGCTAGTGAGGCAGAGTTTGGGGAGAACAAATGTCTGATAGACTACTAAAAGAATGTGTGAGAAGGGAAACATAGTTCCTCTAGGACCACAGAAAACTGTATCATTATACTAGCTGCCTTGGGCATGCTCTGAATATCTTCTCCTTGGCAGTCTAACTCTGAAGGAACTGTTACTCAGAGTGTAGCTAGTATAAAGGGCTTTTGAGGGATAAAGATTTTTGTGGTTCTGAAAGAACACTCATGAGCAGTCTCCTCAAAAAGCTGCATTTATATTTTCAAAAGTTTACTACTTGGTATACTTAACTGTGTGTTTTCAGAAAGACCTATAAACCTTGCCAGGACTTCAAATTCCTGCCCAAAAGCACCCTTTGAAAGTGGTAGCACTTTCTAGCAGAAAGAGCGGCTAATACTGGCAAGATCACTTTCCCCAACCTCATTCTTGGAAACAGCTGGGAAATTTTTTCTGGAACTTAAAAAATTAGAAGATGAAATAGAAAACAGAAGCATAGAAAGAATTTGTAAGGAAAAGCTGCAGTTTGGCAAAGATGTTAATAACCAGAAATAACAGAATTATAGTGAAAAATACCTCAGGAACTGTAACTATAAGCATCACTTGTAATATAAATCGGTTTTACACTATACCTTTGCAATGAACGGCTATAACACCTTCAGCATTTTCACAAATATTTAGAAATGTTTTAACTATAGTATCACTAGGTGTACTTCCATCAGCAAAGAAGAGGTCAAAATGCTCAAACCCAGCATCTGTAAATCGTTTGGCATCATACAGTTTTTTGTTGAGGCGTATTATAGTGGTGACCTTATGTTTCCTGAAGTACGGGAAATAAGCCTCTGGAGCATGGTGGGGATAGCCTATTTGAGAAAAGAGGGGGGGGGGAAGAGTAAGGCTTAAACTGCAGAGATAAACAAAGACTCAAAAACAAGAGACGAAAACACTTTCAAAACAGAACTCATGCTCAACATAAAGAAATAGACTAACCAAAAATGGAATTTTAACATAATCACCTAGGTCAGATACAATTAAACCAAGCATTAAAATTTTACGGCCAGAGTTCTTATAAAAGAAAAAGAGCCAAAGAAAAAACACACTGTTTGAGGAACAATTTTTAAAACTTGTTCTTACTGATAACAATCAACTAAGAAAGCAGTGGGCTTGTGTCCCCCACCTCCTTTTTTAAGCATACCATTTTCAATTTTACTTCTTGAATGAGGTCCACTGAAGGCAATGAATTTGTTTGGTATTATCCAGTTAAAATCTCCATTTTCTGCTCTCTGTCAAGAGAAAATGCTTTGTTTGTCATTATCCCTGTATTTTCAGGCTTTTCCTTATGTTTCAAAATACATGCTAGATAGAATTGATGTACAATTTCTGCCAAAGGAATTATGTTTAGTCACCTGCTTTCTGTTCCACCAGGAAGATGCCAGATGCTCTCAACCTCACTTTTCTTGCCTGTGTTCTCCTCTTTCTAACTTAAGAGTTTTAGAACAAAACACCTGATGCCCTTCAGATAAGAGGCAACTTCCAATTTTTAATTTTTATAGGTTTTTAAATTATGAACTTGGCCATATCTCTGTTCACAACTTAAATCATGATTTTTTAGATTCTAAGAACACTTAATTTTCTCTTTACAGATAACTGGCAGCTTTGCATTTCTGAGACTGCATATAGTCAAGAGTTGCAGTCCTTCATTGACACATTTGATTCCCACGCCCCAAAGTGAATTTTATAGGCTTGGAGTTTCCTAGCCCTGTTCCCTTCTTTACCTCAAAGAGTGTTATTATACCTTTGCCATGTGTTCACAGATACATACTTTGATTGCTCTCCAAAATTCAGTTAGGCTTGGACTCGAATGGCCTCAAACCATCAAGCCATCAAGACTGCTCAAGAATATGCATGACCTCTAAAAGATGGCCAAATAATCTTCCAGAGCTTTAATAACAATGGAAATGTGGTTTCTGCTTTCCCCCTCAGGTTTGAGGCTCACTATGCTTAAATCTGAATTTTAATATTCTCTCTCTGACCACACACCTTTATTTAACAATCAAACTTTTTAAAGACACAAAACAGAAATGGAACCTAGTACTACAAAAAAAAAATCACATACTGTAAACAATCATCTTAGCATTAGCAACAGCAAACAAATAAGAAGACTGATACTGAACACTTACTTCGTAATGCTCATATTCATTTAGGTCAAACGTATTGAAATCCAGGAAACCATATTGTAAAGCCTAAAATTCAGAACACGGCTTTTAACAAAGACATCATCTTTTGAATGAGGACAGTTTATCACTCTTTTAGGTTACAGAAAGCCCTTTAATTCCTGTTCCACTCTTTCACAGAGATTTCTTCACATATTTGAAAAAATACATGTCAATTCAGTCTTGGTTCAAAAGAGATTTGTCAATTTTAATATGAGTGAAGTTAGACAAGCAAATCTACTCCCTTCTGTTTTCATCGAATCACTACAAAATTCCAGACTACTGAAGCATTCAGTCCTTTTATTACTGCTAGGAGTACAAAATAAAAAAAAAGAGGAAAACTGGCAAAAATTGTCTATTAAAAATATTGAGTACATTCTAAAGTCTGCATTCAAGGATTGCAAATATTTTTGTGGATGAAAGCTATTTGCTCTCATTAGGATGCTAATATCTTAATTGAATTTAAATTGTTCACAGACACACAGTCCTAAGCAGACACTACTGTGGTCCCTGATGTGCCATAATTATCCACAACCATTATATTTAATAATGTATAAAAAAATGTAAACATTTGAGTAACTGGCAGTTTACCCACTTGTTAATTCAGGAAGCACAAATACAGATAATCCTGTTATCTCCAGATATTTAAAATACTACATTCTAATTCCCTCTTTCACTGTATAATCTTTTGAATTTTTCCTTGCTGTTCACCAGTACTAAGAAGAATAGCAATTCACCACTCCTGGCATACAGGCAGCCAATGTCAAAACATTCAAGAAAGCTGAAAATCACAAACCTTCGAGAAGCTAGCTTATTCAGTAAAAATACCGGTATTTGGCAGAGATACCCATAATACAGAAGACAGTGGTAGGGTGGAAAGCTGCAGAATTCCCTGTTTCACTACTCATACAGACTAAAAAGAATGCATATAAATTCCCCTGTCCTTCAATCCCACATTATTTCCCCACTGTATTGCTAGAAAACACTGGATTATGATAATTTATAGTTAAAAAGCACCTGCCTCTGAACATTTGTTCTATTTGTATTCTGTCACGCAAAACCTGAAGTCATTAGCACATGCTGCAAATACCTGAAAAGTATCACTACCCAATTCAAAACCTCTTTCAAGGGCTCTATTCAGTCTAAAATGTTAACACTGGGGGACATATAATAAGTGTATCATACAACCCTTCGGGATTAGGGGTGTGAATGACTGTCTTGAAAGACTAGAACTCAAAACTTCCTCTTTCAAATCTTCACTAGTTGATTATATAAAGTGTCAGCTGACTTCTATGGATGCTGTATCTACAAGTTTTGTTACAATGCATAATACATAATAAGCTAGGCAACAATCAGAAGATCTGCTACTGCACAGCTCTAATTGGATCCGAGCTTCCTAAGCTGCCTTTATCTGCTGAGCAATACTTAGCTGACCTTTTGCAATATGAAAAATGTTGGTTTACTGACCTTGTTTATTGCATGAAAACAGTCCAGCAATGTTAGATGAAAACTGCAAGTACCAAAGGAAGCATCCCTAGAAGATATGATGACCAGAATGGTAAAAGCAATTGAAGATACATCTCTAAAACACCTTCAAAACATGGCTTCAAGTTAATTACTATTATAGTGAAATAATTATGTCAAAGGATTACTTCATTTCTCCCACCTTGCATCTCACAATAATAACAAAACAGAAAATAAGTTAAGAGGTGATCCAAGGGTAAGATTACTCCAGTTATAGTTTTGGTAAAGCTGACATTCACTTTCTGACATGACCATTGAAACTAGCATGCTCCAGCGTTCATGTCAACAAAGAACAGACAACACAAACTTTTGGTGGCGAAAGCTAATGCCTGAATTAGTATCATATTCTAATACACTCTTAGAACATTTTCTTCTGAAGTACACTTCCAAAAAAGTCAAATTTTCATACATTGCAGATTTTTTCTTCAAACTCAATTTAAAAGAAAAAAGATGCTGCACAGATGTTTCTGTGTATATGTGAACAGCATCTTCTTACTAAAACTGTCAAGGTGCACATTTGTGTAGATTTATACTAAGAGACTTTCCTTAAGATGCATAAAATAGTTTATGCTTAAATGTGAGGAGAAACTGGTTTTCATGAAAACCCCTTCTTTCAACTACAATTTTTTAAATTCTGCTGATCAAAGAATGGCATGTTCTTAGTATGTGACCATTATTAGATTCCATAAGCACTGTAAAGTAAGCATTCTACAGGAATACTATAGTCAAGTCAAAAAATAAATTTAAACTGAATCTACCTCAAAAAATACTATGCCCTGGCAGAATACCTTCTTTTGAGACCATGCAGCCCTCATCAGCAGAGAATTTCTAATGTTTCAAAAAAGTAAAAAATACATCACATTCAAATTTCAACTGAGAGGAGGAAGAACTTCTGAAGAACTTGGATGGCTGCCTCTACAATCTGTTTGTATCCTTTTCCTCCCTAATGAATCAGTGTGAAAGGTGGGAAAAAAAATCATCAGGAGAAAGAAATTACAGAACCCCATTCAGGTAAAAGAGAGGACAGGTAAAGGTGACATTGTAGTGGGTGTCTGTTGGGCCACCTGATGAGGAAGAACAAGTGGATCGGATCCTCTACAGACAGAGTGGAGCAGCCTCACATTTGCAGGCCCTGGGCCTCATGGGGAACTTCAACCACTCTGATATCTTTTGGAGGGGTATAAGCAATCCAGGAGGTTCCTGCAATGAACCGATGACAACTTCCTCTTCCAAGTGATATGGAAGCTAATGAGGAACAGCGCTGTACTGGGCCTCATACTCGCCAACAAAGAGGCGCTCATTGGGGATGTGAATGTCAAAGGCAGCCTTGGATGCAGTGACTATGAGATAGTGTGTGGGAGAAGGAACAGAAGTCACATAGGTCATGAGCCGAACCACAGGAATGCAGAAGTGAAGCTAGAAGAAGCTATGACTGGAGGATAGTTGCATGGGCGGTGCCTGCAGGACCACTGTGAGCACGGGCTGATTGAAAAGTTTTTGCGGAAGTTTTCTCTGTGCACTGAGTACAAAAGCATGCTCTCCCTGAATAAAGTTGATTCTGGTTGCACCTCCAACCTAGTTCTGTGCCTCTGTTCAGGAGGGTGGAGGGTTTAGCAGGGAGGAGGGTGAAAAGCAAGCTGTCAACCCTGGACTTCAGGAGAGAAGACTTGGGCCTCTTCAAAGATCTGCTTGGAAGAGTATCATGGGATACTCTTCCCTGGAGGGAAGAGGGGCCCAAGAAAGCTGGTTAATATTCAAGGATCTGCCCCTTCAAGCTTAAGAGCTGTTCATCCCAATGAATATGAAGCAGGCAAAAATTCCAGGAGGCCTACACGGATGAACAAGGAACTCCTGGCCAAACTCAAACACAGAAAGGAAGCATATGGAGGGTGGAAGCAAGGACAGGTAACCTAGGAGGAATATAGTGACATTGTTCGAGCATCCAGAGATGAAGTTAGGGAAGTTAAAGCCAAAGTGGAATTGAATCTGGCCAGGGATGTCAAAGAAAACATGAAGGGCTTCTATAAGTACATAGGCAACAAAAGGAAGGCTAGGGAGGATGTCAGCCCATTGCTCAATTAGACAGGGGAACTGGTTACACAGGACATGGAAAAGGTTCAGATACTGAATGCCTTCTTTGCCTCAGTCTTTACTAGTAAGACCAGCCTTCAGGAACCCCAGTTCCCAGAAACCAGGAAGAAAGGCTGGAGTAAGGAAGATGTACTCTTGGTGGAAGAGGATCAGGTCAGGGAATACTTCTGCAAACAGGACATGACTAGGTACATGGGCCCTGATGTGATGCACCCATGAGTGTTGAGAGACCTGGCTGATGTCACTGCAAGGCCAATAATCTCTGATCAATCATGGCAACTGTGAGAAATCCCTGAAGACTGGAGGAAAGCAAATGTCACCCTCAAGTTCAAGAAGAGCAAGAGGGAATCCCCAGGGAACTACAGGTTAGTCAGTGTCATCTCAATCCCCAGAGAGGTAATGGAGCAGCTAATCCTGGAAATCATTTCCAGGCATATTAAGGACAAGAAAATCATAAGTAGTAGTCAGCATGGATTCACCAAAGCAATGTCATGCTTGACCAATCTGATAAACTTCTACAATGAAATGACTGGTCTGGTTATGAGGGGAGAGCAGTGGATATTGTCTACCTGAATTTCAGTAAGGCCTTTGACATTGTCTCTACAAGATCCTCATAGACAAGCTAGTGATGTGTGGGCTAGTTGAGCAGACAGGTGGATTGAAAACTGGCTGAATGGCCGGACCTAAAGGGTGGTGGTCAGTGGCACGGTCTAGTTGGACGTCAGGAACTAGCAGTGTACTCCAGGGGTCACTGCTGCATGCGTTTGATCCTATTCAACATCTTCATTAATGATCTGGATGAAGGGGCAGAGAGTTCCCTCAGCAAGTTTGCTGATGACACAAAACTGGGAGGAGTGGCTGATATGCCAGAGGGTCATGCTGCCATCCAGAGGAACCCTGACAGGCTGGTGAAATGGGTGACAGAAGCCTCATGAAGTTCAATAAGAAGTGTAAAGTCCTGCACATGGGGAGGAAAAACCCCAGGCACCAGTGTGGGCTAGAGGCTGCCCAGTTGGAAAATAGCTTCGCAGAAAAGGACCTGGGGGTCCTGGTGGACTCTAAGTTGAATATGAGTCAGCAATGTGCCCTGTGACAAAGAAGGCTAATGGTACTCTGGACCACATTAGACAAACTATTGCCAGCAAGTCAAGGGAGGTGATCCTTCCCCTCTCCTCAGCACTAGAGAGGCCACACCTGGAGTACTGTGCCCAGTTTTGGGCTCCTCAGTGCAAGGGAGGTATGGTGGTGGTGCTCAGTGGTGCTCAGTGACATGACCAGAGACAATGGGCACAAACTAAAACACAGGAGGTTCTCTCTGAACATCAGGAACCATTTTTTCACTCTGAGTGTGACTGAGCACTGGAGAACAGGTTGCCCTAAGATGCTGAGGAGTCTCCATCCCTGGAGTCATTCAAAAACCACCTGGATATGGTCCTGGGCAACCAGCTCTAGGTGGCCCTGCTTGATGTTGGACCAGATGACCTCCAGAGGCCCCTTCCAACCTCACTGTGATTCTGTGATTCTATAAGTGAAAAAAAAAATTCTTTTCATCCTGCTAACAAAAGCTTTTGTGTTGGTAATGACCCTAAGTAGCAACTACCTGACTGACTTTTATTATTCTATGGGAAGGTACTGTTTCTTGCTGAGATCTTTTCAAAGAAGTTCTTAAAGGAACAGAGCCCAGACCAACATCTCAGTTGATCATTAACATAATCTGGATTTCTCTGTTTGCACCGTGTTTAGTTGCACTAGTAAACTCAAGAAAATGGTAAAGTTTGCAGGCACTTCAACAGACTGTATTCTTTATCCCAGAGGCTGGATATGTCTTCAGAAGTCAGCTCTTAGTTAGTCTTATCATATAACACATCTTTGCATTTCTTTCAGTAGGGCTGCTGAAGTGATGGTCTGGGACTCTGGGCAGAGTATATGGCCTGAGTGAAAAGCTTCTATCTCCATCACCCACATAGACCTCTACGATATTCAGAAACAAACCTTACAGTCTTCCTAAGGATGACTTTTTGTTCTTCTGGGAATATAAAAATGGAATTTAAAAGTGAGAAATGGGATGATGGAAGTATAGAAATAAAGAGAGGTGCTACTACACCATTATGTGCTGGTGGTGGAGGGGGGAAGTAATAGAAATTCAAATCATCAAAAGCCGCTCTGGCAAGAGAACTAGAAAACACAAACAAGCAAGGACTAAATTTATCACCCCGTAACCATATATTTGGACAGTAAACTTGCCTCCTAAAAAGTTTTTTGGCCATTCTTTTCTGCATATTGTGGCAGCCAATGTAACATTAGTTTAGTCCAACTTTTAGAAACTTTTGGAAGAAATTAAGAAGTTGTTCCTCTGCACAACGGATCGACTTTATTTGCTACACTAAGCAGCACAGCATATACCACAAAGAGAAGTCTGTGGTCTGAAACAGCTAGGATTACATTCCCTCAGGGTCAGGCAACCATGAACCAGTGGTTTTACACATTTCCTCATTGGTAAAAAGAAACACTTCAAAGTTACACTAGGTCATATGAGGTTAGCTAGCCTTCTTTATGTATAGAACAGTACTTGTGGGTTGCTGCATAGATTCGACAAGTAGGAAAAATGGAGTGCTCTAAGTATTACAAGCCATTTGAGATGAATGACAGATATTTTGATACGTTTAACTATCAACTACTGGCACAAAACCAGACTGCCATGTGAAAAGCAATGTAGATCAAAAAGCTCAACGAGAGTGCATACAAAGCAGCGTGGCTCGTTCGCCTTCTGTCAGTACACTTCAGTTCCAGCTGCTAACACCCCTGTTCAGCAGTCTGCACTTAAAGCTCAGGCAGTGAATGTGTCACATCTTAAAAATTAGGCACACCCCCCACCCCCACCGCCCAAATCAGTACTGCTAAATGCTACATTCTTCTTCAAAATATCACGGTACAGAATGTTCTAACAACTTGTTATTTACCTGAAAGGAAGATATGAAATGCTTCCAGCTAATATAAGCCTGTACACATCTTCTGGGGATTCTCTCAGGTATATTATCTATTTTTGCAGAAAAAGTCAGAAAAGAAAATAAAAATATTATTTTAAGATAGATATTAATAACCTCAAGTCACTTGTTTACTACAGAAGGCATGACTAATTACCAAAAGTGCT